TTCTTTTGTCAACAACCTCCTCTGACCTTTCTCTTTGAAGCTTGTCGGCTGCCTCTTTTCCAATCACCTTCAGCCCAGTCTCATCTGTAATCTTATCAACGACTCCTACATCTTCTAGTTGCTTGTTCAGCAGCAGTGCTTGGGATGCCGCAATACTATCTGCCTTCTTGTAGAAATCTTTGATTCCACCCAAGAGTCCATTCTCATTCGACTGTTCCTCTTCAGGAGCATCCTTTTCGCCTACAGCAGTAGCTGGATCTGACTCAGATGCCGAATCTGACTCCAAAATAGCTGCTCCTTGCTCTCCTTCAATTGTGCTTTCCATAGCCACAACTTCGGATAGGGCACCAAGTCGTTTCTGTACTTTTCCCGAGCGACGCTTTTTCCCCGCCCTTTCCATCTTCTTTTTCTTCTTGTTGGCAGCCGATGGTTTTGCTTTTTCGTTTCGTCGGCGTTCCAACTCTTCGTAGATCTTCTCTGCGCTAATGCGCTGAGAGTCCAGTTCTGCTTCCGCCAACAATCCAGCTCCAGCTCCCAACACCAAGGAAAGTCCACCACCAATGGCATTGGTGAATAGGAAGCTGGTCACAGGATTTGACACCACCCAAGCAAATGACGAATCGGCCAAGTTCACTCCAGGACTTCCATCAGGACTAGCGGCCCTAATTTCGGTCAAGAATCCATTGAAGAAAGCGCAAAGGATTCCAGTAAATGCCAAGAGGGCAAGAAAAGCAACCCGCTGTCCGCGTTCCTTGGCAGCAGGGGTGTTAGCTTCTGCGCGATAAATTTCATCTTTTACGTCTTCTGGAATTTTCGATTCGACCGGGTTTAAACCATCTAGCCAACCATACAGTGATGTAGAAGAGATTTGTTGATTGCTTGTTCGGTGTGAAACTAGTGTGAAAAATGTTGGGTTCATGTGCTTTTGTGGCACTGGAGGCAAAAGCCATGCATGGGTCGGGGCGCTAATCCACGCAAGTAAGATTATAGCTATGAATCGCTGTCGTGGATGAAACATTTCGAGATGAATTGATGTGGTTAAAAGTGATGGGTTGGCAAGGAAGTGAATTGCGTTCAGATAGAGGGTCAGGAACGGCCGGGGACGCACCACAACGTCAAACGCACGCTCGAAATCTGTCCGTTTGGATTGGTTTGAGAATTTGTTTTTAACATCCAGCAGGAACACCCGGCAAATGTTCAGACCGAGTATTTTCGGGACACTGATCGCAAAGTTTGACGTGCTCGTGCCCGGCGATATAAAATTATATTTTTAGCTTCGAAAAATCTATGTTATTTCCCTTTAACTATTAATGACATATTATTATATGTGATGATTTATCAAATAGGGACTTATGGACACAGATGACCGATTGGTCATTGTGA